TATAATTAATATAATATATTAATGTTATGGATGTCAAACTGGCTCGTCGTTCGCGAACAGCTCATGTTCGACGCGTTCGTTAAGAAACGAACACGTATATAATATCTATATTAATATATTACTAATACAGTATAATAATTTATTATTATTATTAATTTATTATATATTATAATTCTTTTATGAAAAATACTTGCCTCGTTTATTTATCGAATAAATCGAACACGAACTATTCGTGAATAACGAGCTTTTTTGACAGCCCTAGCTATGTCCTCGGACATTGGTGTTTGTGTATGTGTGTTTTGGACTATTAAAGCCTAAAGATTCCACAAGGTTAATTTTACTTATGGGTTTCAAGGTTAAAAGGTTTGCCCAATATTGATGGAGTTCAAAAAGGTGGCTACATTAAACTAGGATATTAGCAAGTGATCTATGTTACACGTCGAGACCCTCCCTAGCTATGGTCAATTATATGGGTAAATGTGGAACTTTTATTTGGATAACAAACCAAGTTGGTTATGTGTTGTTAAGCCCTTGTTTAACTCTTGGGGTCATTAAAAATTTTAATGACTAAAGATACATGTTTTTCCTTTGGCAATTAAAATTTACGATAGAACCCTTTTATCATTTGGTTTGTATGTTGATTTGTAATAGCCGGTTTAAAAAAAGATAAATAAAATAAAAAATAAACAAATTACCAATTTGAGCATCATTTGGAGGAGAAATGACGCTTGTGGGAAACCAAACGAGCCCTTATTTTCTTGTTCTGAATGGGAGAAAGAAGGGGAACAAGTCGAAGATGAAGAAAAAAAAGCTGAAGGAGAAGAAAAAACGGGAGAAGCAGAAGAAGAAAGGAGAGAGCGACAAAAACCCTAGCTAAGAGCCATGCAAGAGACGAAGCCAAGGGGTGGATTTGCGTTTTTCTCTTGCTGGAGAGTTGAGCCGAGCCCTAGCATGCGAAGAGAAGAAGTGTTGAGCAGCTTTATTACGAAGGATAGATTAAGAAGAGAAGGGTTGCTTGCATGGAGGTGATGACGTTGAGTACAATAGTGCAGCTTGTTCTGCATGGATAAGAGGAAGAGAAGAGGAAGGGAGTGACCGCGTGCGAGAAGAAGACTTTGTGCGGGTAAACGTGCCAGAACCGAATTCTTTTAAGAAGTTTATCGAGCGGCTCTGTTTGTGAGAGAAAGGATCCAACCATCTTCAACGAGAGAGGAAGACCGAACCAGCTTAAGGTATGTTAGATCTATATTTTTTGTTATATAAGATATAAAGTTTTTAATTTCTATTAGATTTTTTTAGGTTATAATATCTTATTATTTCTTAGTAGAAATTAAGTTTGGTCAAGCAGTTGAATCAAAGGATTAGAATAAGAAGTCATTGACAACATTTAAATTCTATGAGTCTATTGAGTGGTTCTGTTTGTGAGCGAGTAGAGAAGATTATAGATGGGTTGTCATGTCCACGAGAGATGAAAGTTACGCTTGTCACATTTGCCTTTGAGGGAGATGGTATGGTGGTGTAACAATATGTAAGCTAAACAAAAAAATAATAAGCAGAATAGTCGAATCGATTGTCTGGGATAACCGTCTTTTCAGTTAGGCTTAAGAATCGTATCTTCCCATTTGAGCCAAGTGAAAATGATAATATGAGAGCTAGGGTTAGAGAGGAGAGGCGAGTGCACTAATGGACCAGTGTTAAAGAAAGAAGAAGAAAAAGAGAAGAAGGAAGTCACTGTGTGCATCCATGAAACTTTCTACACTTGCGTTGCTGGAGGAGCGACTTCATGCCAAACCGTAGTGGAAGGGAAGGAGGGAAGAGATTGGCTTTGTGTGTGAAGTGGAGAATCGATCCCGACCAACCCTAGTTGAGTGGTTTCGAGTGAAGTAGCAAGCTTGTGGGTTCGAGCAGTGGAAGTGAAGGGAAGCCTTTGACGAGATGTGATTGAATTTGCAGAGGAAGAAGGGAACGGGAGCCTTGCCTCGCGTGAAGTAGGAATGCTCTTTGTGGTGCGGGCTATGGTAGCCGAATAAATAAAAAGGTAAATTTAGGGTTGTTATTAATTAGAATTAATATTTAATAAAATATTGATGTATGACAACTAAGGTTGTAGAATATTTGAACGTAAGATTGAAGATTTAAGGAGTCTTTGAGACGAGCAAACAAGGGTTAGTGAGTAATTATATTTCTAAATTTTGATAAATTTCAGTATTTAAGTTTAATCTTGATTTTATTCACAATCTAGTTTAGTTAAATTTATCTTACAATAGATTCTTGATATTTTTTGACAACAAAAATATATATAATAAATAGTTGCACATGAGAGTTAGTATGCACATTGACACTGTTGCATAATTAGTTTATTAGTTTTTATAGAAGAACATTATCTTATTACATGACATTTAGAAGTATGCATTTAAAGAATCATACATATAACATATGCATATTAATTTATTTATGAAATTATTATATTATGGTATTTAATTTTGACTCTAATAAAAGTGCATTCATTCAGTAGTAGATGAATGAAACTGCCTTATAAAAAATTTATGTTATCAAGAATGAAATAACTTATATATGAAAGCTTGTATTTGCATGTTAAGAGGTGATAGTACATATAAAGGACGTTCGTATACATGTGTAGGTAGATGTTTTCTTACCACCCCAGATAGTTGTGCTGTGCAGATCATTAATCGCTATGTCGACCAGAGAATATCGGCCAAAGGCAAGTAAACAATTTATCATCCACGAAAATTGTGATCTTGAGATCCCTAACAGCTGTGCTAACAAAAAAATATTGGCTAGGGGCGAGTAAGGACCTTTGTATCTCAGACTATTGCGATGTTTAGATCGCTAACCGCTATAATATCTGTCAGAGCTGTGTTCGCTTATGTTTTGACAATGCTCCTCAGATAGAAAAACAAATGTGTAAAGATAAAGTTAATGCATGTTGGAGTTTAGATTATTTCATTTAATAAATGTCATTGATACATACTTTAGATTACTATAAGATTTTTTATATAAATATGAAAGACTAACATCCATGCTGTTTTCTCTTCATTTGGTTACTGTAGTTTGTAAGTGTGATTGCTTCTGAGTTATATTTAAATAACTTATTAGGTTTTAACATTTCTTTTTCAGGTTTTAAACTTTTAAATACGATGAATAGAAGAGGGGCAAATTTGTACATAAGGAGAGAACATTAACCGAAAAGGTAAAACTTTCACTTATAAATTAAATTATTTTCTTTAGTAGCTCTTGCATGAATATTTGATTACTAAACTGTTAGTGTTAGAAATAGAAAAATAGAAATTTTTTTTCATCGAACGTCCGACCGTTGGTTCTCGTCTTAGTTAATATCAAACCTAAGGTCAAGTGTGACAAAAGTGGTATCAGAACAATGTTTAACTTTACTAACATGAATCTTAATGAATAAGATAATTGGATCAAGTTATTAATACTAGAAATTAAAATTTTAACTTAGTTTAATTGAATTATATTGTTGTTATTTCAGAATTATGGATGAAGGGATCAGGGATGATAGTGTTGAATATAATATACTTCAGAATGTCACTGTTAGTGCTGATGTATTTTCCAACTATGATGAATGATGTGACTCAGTTGATTAAGAATTGCTTATCTCAAGCTAACAGCAGTGGAGGAACATCAATGGATAAATATTTAATTTTTTTTAGGGAAATGTAACATCCTTTATTTTTTGGAGCAGAAGGGCTAGTGGAAGCTGAAAAATAACTTTTTCGTTGGAGAAAATTATCGATGGTATGACATGTCCACCAGAGAGGAGAGTTACCCTTGTCACTTGCTTTTGAGGAGGAAGTTGAGAGATGGTGGCAAAGGCAGTTACACGAAAATTTTGGTGGACGACCTAGCCCTTTGGTACGCCTGGACGCATTCGTGAGAACCTTCAGAGATTTGTTTGTACCATAGTCTGTTAAGAGACAAATGCATGATAAATTCATTAGGTTGGTGCAAAGAGATTGACCAGTTATGCAGTACAAAGAGGATTTTACGATGCTGTTGAGGTATGCACAACAACTTTACAGAGGAGAAATGCCATAGATTTTTTTTTTTTGGATTTAAGGATTTAATTAGGTAGCCACTAGTGCCACTTAAGATTGAAGACTATTCAG